GAGGTTCAGTGGATTGTGCGTCTGTCTATACTCGAGGTAATCAAGGTCTCTCTAGTAAGCAATCAATTCTTCAAGTACGCACATGTTACTTTATTCTATCTTATTTGATCATATATAAATTGAGATATTAGACCTAACATGTGGCATCAGAGCCAAGATTATAAATATTAATTTTGTATATTTCAATTCAACCTCTTTTGTGTATCATGTTGAAATTTATTTTTCAATTTAATTTGGATTTTGCCGTGAGCTTCTAGTCTAGAAACCCTTGCCCACTATGAAGTATCCCATCTTCTTCACTGTCACAATACTTCAGAATTCTTCATATCGTGTGAAAATTCTTTCAAAGCTGTCAAGTTCCTGTGAAGGTCGCTGTACAAGGTTCTATTCATGTCATCTCTGATTCTTCACCTTCATGTTATCTCTTCACGACAGCTCATGAAGAGTTGGCTGTAAGACGCTACTTCATGCTGTCGGAAAAAAAAAATCTATAGTAGACATCACCATTTTGTGGTGCTGTGTCTGCTGTGCCATGGATGGAATTCAATGCTTTTGTTATCGAAATCACTGTTTCTCCATGTGCTGTCGCTAGAAAAGAAGTTTTGGACCATCGGCGATGATTGCTGCATCGTCGTTGGGAGCCAGTATCGTTGAGGCTCATGGCATTGTCGCAGTGAGCTATCCTTCAGGTCTCGCGCTGCTAGACGCTGATGATGTCTTAGGGTTCGTGGTTTGCGGCTACTAGAAGGGGAAGAAGGAAATAGGTTAAAAATCGGGTCCTAGAGCTCTAGTTTCTTGTGTCATGGGTCCAAATTTTGTTTAAGCCTAGATCTATAAAAAAAAAAACACAATGGAGGAAATGGGGCCAAAAGTGAAACGGACCGTTTCAGTTAAATGTATTAGGCCTTAAATCTCAGCCTAGTAGTATGATTATAACAAAAAAAGGAAAAAATTTATTATTTCTATTAATTGCATTTCCAACCCAGTTTAAATTACCTCCTTGTACCCATTATTTGTTGTATTCACGTTGTGACCCAAGAAATTTTTAAAAATTATAATTTAGTCTCTTAACTTCTAGGATTACATTTTGGATCCAAACCTCTTCTAGAATTACCAATTTACACCTAGACATCTTTCAAAATTCCATTTAAGTGAGAAGACAACTTTGATAATGAAGTTGAAGAAGAAGACAAGGGGAAAGAAGAAATCATTGATAAAGACAAATATCAGAGATTAATTGGGAAGCTGATTTATCTATCTTATATAAGGCTAGATATTGTTTTTGTTGTCAGTGTAGTGAGCCAATAAACGTGTGATCCAAGTAAGAGACACCTAGAAGCTGTATATAGGATTCTCATATACTTTAAAGGTACACTTGATAAGGGATTGTTATTCAAGAAGCATGATCAAAGGACAATTGATATTTACACAGATACAAACTGAGGGGAACTTATGGAGACAAGAGATCCACCTTTGGCTATTGTTCATTTGTGTGGGAAAACTTAGTGACCTAGAAAAGTCAAAAGCAAAGAGTTGTATCCAGAAGTAGTGCTGAATTAAAATTGAGAGCATTAGCTTAAGAAATTACAGAAGAACTATGGATAAGAAGGGTCATGGAAGAAATATAAGTCAGAGTTGATCCACCAATGAAAGTGTATTGTGATAACAAGGCTGTTATGAGCATGGCATTGAATCCTGTACAGCATGAGAGATCTAAACATGTTGAAGTGGATAAACATTTTATCAGAGAGAAAGTAGGAGGCATTACATGTCTAACATACCTACCTACAAAGTTACAAGCTACAGATGTGCTAACCAAGGGACTACCTAAGCCTGCATTTGAGTGTTATATAAGTAAGTTGGACATGATTAGCATCTATAATTCAACTTAAGAGGGAGTATGGAAATATTATGTCATTATTGTAAATAATTAACATTTATTAGGATCATTAATTAGGCTTTATTAGTATTTATCAATTTTTATCTCTCTTGATGTGTATATATAAGACCAGTTTGTATATTAGAAAATGAATGAGATAATATAATTTTTTCTCTCTAAAAATTCTACAGATCTTTCTCACCTTAACTCATTCCTCCCTCACAAATTGTTTGGCGATACTGCTTTTGTTCTCTCTGTTAATCCCACAAAATCCTTAGGCTATCAAATGCATTTTCTTAGGATATTCATCCACTCAAAAGGGGTATCAGTGCTATGATCCTACCACTAAATGTTTGTATGTCATTTGGTTTTTACTTAAAAGGGTGGTATGATGAACTTCAGCTTTTGAAAAGTGAGGGGGAGAGATTTCCTTAGAGTAAGAGTGAGAAAACTCCTGAGCCTATTGTTTTATCTGAACCATCACCACCAATCATCAACCCTTCTATCTCCCAAACTTCAACTAGTAGAAACAATGATGATACTTTGGTGCAAAAAAAAACCATTTAGAGTATATGAACGGAAGAAGCAGTAAGATAATGGCATCTTAGTGCTCCTAATCCTTCCATATTCTAACCTAATAGAGGTCATTAAACATAACCATATTGAAAATCATGAATTGGAGGTGTGTGCTGAGACACTAAAAGCCAATGTGATGCAAATGATCTTGACTTGCCAATTGCAATAAGAGAGCAACCCAAATCTTGTACTCAACATCCTATACATAAGTATGTATGTTTAAATGCATTCTCTTCAAGATATACTACTGTTGTTGCTAATGTTGACAGGGTGAAGGTTTCCAACAATGTCCATGAGGCACTTAAGATACCTAAGTGAAGGAGTGCAGTCATAGAAGAAATGAGAGTAATAGAGAAAAATGGCACCTAAGAAGTTGTTGATCTGCCTGAAGCAAAGAAGATAATTGGATGTAAGTAGTTCATTATACCCAAGTTTGATGCTAATGGGGACCTTGTCAAGCTCAAAGCCGTACTAGTTGCAAAGGGATTCACTCAAACCTATGACCTGAATTACAAAGAAACATTCGCTCTAATAGCCAAGTTAAACACATCAGAGTGTTATTATTTGTCACATTAAACCTTGATTGGTAGCTCCACCAATTAGATATCAAAAATGCATTCTTGAATAGAGAATTCAAGAAAGAAGTATATATGTCCCTACCCTTAAGCTTTGATGAAGGGAAAGAAGGACATGTTTGTAGGCTCAAGAAATTACTCTTTGGCTTGAAGCAGTCTCCGAGGGTCTAGTTTGATAGGTTCTCTAAAGTGCTAAAGGTTGAAGGTTACAAGAAATGTCTCTCCAACCATATAATGTTTGTCAAAATGGATGGCGAGAAGAGATGCATCCTCATTGTGAACGTTGATGATATAATTACTACTAGAGACCATGAAGAAGAAATCACCAGGGTTAAGGTAGCTTTAAGAAGAGAGTTTGAAGTCAAAGATCTCGAGAAACTAAAGCATTTTCTCAAGATGGAAGTTGCCAGATCAAGGCAAGGATTTATGTGTCGTGGCGCAAATATATATTAGACTTGTTAATTGAAACAAGTATGTTGGATTGTAAGCCCCTAGATACACCAATAGTGATAAGGAAGAAGGGTCATAAGGTAGGTAATGAATTCGAAGAGGAAGAAGATGCCTCTAATGATTAATCAAACAAAGGCAAAGATGAGCCAGTTGACAAGGAAAGGTACCAAAGATTGGTAGGGAAGCTTATTTATCTTTCCTACACTAGGCCTAATATAGCCTTTGCCATGAGTGTAACCAATCAACATATATGATATCCAAAGAAGAAACACTTGGAGGTAGCATATAGAATTCTAAGATATCTGAAAGAGACACCTAGTAGAAGGGTACTATTTAACAAAGGGAGCAAAGAATTATAGAAGTATATGCCAATGCAAACTGGGGAGGGATTCATCCAGATAAAAGGTCCATCTCTAGTTACTGCTCATTTGCATTGGGAAATCTAGTGCCTTGGAAGAGTCAGAACAAGAGTAGTATCTTAAAGCGGTGCTAAGTCTGATCAACAAGCCTTAGCTTAAGGTGTAATAGAAGAATTATGGTTAAGACATGTAATAAAGGAGATATTACTCAAAGTAGAAGTTGAAGCTATACTGTGATAACAAGGCAGCCATTAATATGGCCTTAAATCCAATTCAACACTAGAGATCTAAGGATGTAGAAATAAATGGACATTTTATAAAGGAAAAAGTGGAAGAAGGAATTGTTTGTCTAATCTATTTGCCTCCTACCCTACAGGTTGTGGACGTCTTGACCAATGGACTACAAAACCAACTTTCAATAATTGTATAAATAAGTTGAATATGATAAGCATTTATAATCCAACTTGAAAGGGAGTGTAGATATTATTGTATATATTTACAATATTTTCAGAGAGATAATTTCAAGTAGAGGTAGTCAAATATACTTAATTTATTTTCCTTGATTCCCTCAATTGCTCCCTAATCTTTGTTTCCAGGTGAATACTAGGCATATTATTCTGTTTCTCCCAATAAAAGATTATTAGGTATGGATTCAAATTTTATCATGGATGCGAAACATTATTACTAGTTAGTAACCTATAAATGCCCTTGAAAATACTTTTTAAGCCATAAACCCTCTACGACACCCAGTGTATTGAAAACTGAGTCAGACCAGACGATCAGACCGGTCCAACCGTCAATCGAGTTTAATTTTCAGCTTGGTTCATTGTAAAAAACCGTTTTAGGAGTTAAGCCGGATTGAGTCGTTTTAAACCGACGGTTGGACCGAAAACCAAAATCAAGCCGAAAACCAAATCCAATTTTTAAAAACCAGACTGTTCAAAAAATTTTTTTTTATTTTTTATCAAATTTTTTAAAAAAATAACTAATTTTTTTAATCATTTGATATTATATTGTATCATGTGACTTGTTAAGTCATGACAAACTTAAAATATTTTATTTTTTTAAGTTAAATAATAATTTCATATGTATTTCTTATATTTAAATTATTATATACATATATAATTTTTTTTAATTTAATTATTACGTCGTCCAACCCAGTTGAATCGTGAACCGCTGGCTTTTCGATTCAATGTCCGGTTTTGAAAACATTGATGACACCCCCAAAAAAATGAACAATTTTAACATACATAAAAGGACACCTGGCCTATGACCCAAAAATATGAATGACTAATTGCTATATGAAAAAATGATGATCAATATTCGTTAGGAATTTGCTTTGCAATGGAAAGAAGGAAACGAGTGAGAGCCTTTTCAGCCCGAATTTTTGCTGCTGCTACTTTTCTCTCCGCTTCATTAGCAGCTTGCTGTTCTTGAGCTGAGTGCACCCTTCTTACAAGCCTTCGTAACTCCTGATCCAACAAAACTATGAGACCTCATAACAGTAAAACAATAAGAGGACATTATACCGTTAGACGGTTAAAGGATAGATTATTGATTGCCGTGAAGAAATCTTTCATAACCAGCAAGTCTAGGTGCCAACTCTTGGTTACTCCATACTCATTACATAGTACTGGTTTCTTTTTTTATTTTCCCTCAATATTTAAGTATCCAGACTTCCAAGTTTTATTGAAATAAAAATTAAAATGACTTCCCCACAATTTTCAAAACACAACTCTCGCATTCTGCTAAAAGTACGCTAGCCCAAAAAGAAGAAAAGGGTGGAAAACTCTCTAAAACTTACAGAAACCAATGAATTTTGCCGAAATCAAAAACCTTTTTAGTAGGGAGAATCTCACTCTGGCCCCTCATAGCGCAAAATTTTACATTTAAAGCTCAATACAATCTAAAAACTCTGTATGGCCAAGGACTTTAAGTGAAAAAATGTTTTAACAGAAAAGGACACATTTGCCCTTAGACATTTTGTTGCCAATTGCAGGATATTGTATTGAGAATTTATGGATATTATATTGTGCACTTATGAATATTGTTTTGTTTTTTCATCTTGCACAACTTGTCCATTTCAAATTAAACCATTTCCACTAAGTCAATTGTACATTATAGGACATTGTATTGAGATTTTATGGACATTGTGCTATGCATTCATAAACATTTATTGTTCTTTCATCCTATGCAACTTGTACATTTTAAGTTAAACTATTTTCATTAGACTAATAATACATTACAAGACATTGTATTGAGAATTTATGGATATTGTATTGTGCATTCATGGAGAGAAGGAGGACAAATGCATCTTCTCTCATTAAAACATATTTTCACATAAGGCCATTGGGCCTGCAGAGATTTTGCAGATTATATTGGGCCCTAAATGCAAATTTCTGTCTTCTCAGGGCCCTAGGTGAGATTCTCGCATTTAACCTTCTCTAAAGTCCCACGGAAAGAAGAGGAAGAGGAAGGAGACATTACCTGACGATCAAACTCAACCTCCTGCAATGAATAAACTTCATTGGTGATTTTAATATCTTTATTGACCAGACCATCAAACCACCTAACTGCTCGAGCACTGTAGCAATCAGATTCCTGATAAAATACTCCAAAAGTAAGAATGTAATCAGACGACATTAAATGGATCAGTGACCAAGTAATACCCAAGGAATCAAGGAAAATTAAGATTTCACCTGCTATGAAGAGACTAATTAGCAACCAAAATCAGAAATCCAGAATTGATTTTTTTGTATCCCAAGGATTAGGGTACGGAAAGACAAATGTGTAGGATTCAACTTACTGGACATGTTGAACAAAAAATTATGGATGTTATGGATATATCATGTGTGTGTGTGTGTGTGTGTTAAAGCAGCTATGTGTAGCATGAAAACTAATACATAAATGAATACCTCATCATCCTCCTCAGACTCAAATTCTGTAAAGTCATCATCACCTTCAAGAACCTCAGTATCAGAGACACATAATTTTTGTAGCTCGGTGTGATTGCCATCTTTTGCTGCTTCTATTAATTTATCCATCAATTCAGGTTGCACTTCCCGCAGCAATTTTCCTGAGATAAATTAGGTGAGTATGAAGCACAAAAATCTGGATTGAATAACGCACAAAAGTCATATGAACTTACCTTAAAATCTCAAATGGCAAGTGCAAATTTATCTACTGGTTAGTGATATCACGATTTACCACAACTCCCACATGTCAATTCAATTGAATATATAATAAACTGGAGAGGCTTTCAAGGGGCAAAAGGGTCAAATAGATAATAGATGATACGCAATGCTAGACATGGGATGAGGGTCCGAGGAATTAAAAGGGAGGAAGAAGGGGGCGGAAACAAGACACGTAACTGATATAGGAATCAAGTGAAATTTACAAGAATGATGAGCTGGCTTTAAAAAGGGTGACAGTCCATTCTATTATCAATGGAATTAGAGTTAGATATTGTTCTATTAGAAGCAAGTTTTTTACCCATTTTCTTTTATAGCATAAGTCAGAGGAAGGTGACGAAAAATTTCAGTGAACTATGTGGAGATTTTCCGCAGCTATATTTTTAGATAATCCTTCGGAATATGAAAAAAAAAAAACATTTTGTTCAGCCGAAGACCTAAGCGCAGCAAGTTAGAGCAATGAGCTGAGCAACTAACTAGTGAAGTCAGGAAAAAAAAATCCAATGACTAATGTACTGCGAAGTATATCTTTGGCTGACCAAATTGTGCATTTGCTGTACGAGTATATTTCCCCAAAAGATGCTTTCAAGACATTTAAGTATAGGTCTACAGGCTACAGCTATCCTCAGTTAAGTTTGCAACACAGGTAGGCAATACAATATTCTGCATTCCAAATCAAAAACTCAACGAGGGATGAACAAATTACCAATATAATTGAACTGCCTCCTCCTTCCTTCGCGGACATCCGGTCTTAATCTCTATGGCAAAACAACAAACACCTTCTCTTCAATAATAGATTAAACGAATAGAGAATTATTCCAGAAGCAAAAAAGGGACAAGCCAACCGCAAAACTCATCTTCATTATTAAAATGGAAAATCACCTTAACCAGCATCAGAGCTTCAAACACCTCTCGGTCCACAGTAACCAATCTGCAATCCAGAACAAATTACAGAAACTTTTTATCAGTGATATATCACAACGCCCTAAAAGTAAGCATCAACGTTTCAACTGATTGCGTGGGAGGGGGGGGACCTGAGTATTCGCTTGATTTGAGGAGCAGAGAGAGAAGCTAGCTCCATACCCCAACGCACAGCACGCTTTGCCTCGCGTTTCAACTGATTCCGGCTCTTCTTAACGTCAATACTCGATTCATCACTGTTACTTCCATCACGAACCATAGGGTCGCTGGATAAACGAAGACCGCAAGGACGAAAATGAAGATTTCGATTAGAAGATGAAACAAGAGTGGCCAAAGAGAAATGAGTAAAAGAGGTTGGGTTGGCGGGTTCAAGAAAACAGGGCGAGTTGAGGAGGACATAATGGAGGCTGAGCCCACAACTACGGTTCGGCATCGGCGACTCCGACCCCCGCCATGGCCAATGCCTTATTAGAGGTCGCAATAGTTGAGCCATTTGCACAAACTGCTTCTTCCGGTCCAGTTTCTATACTTATTGCAAGGATGGGTACCGTGAGCTCTCAAGAGCTCAGAGATAAAATCCGAGCCATTTAAATTTTAATATCAATATTCAGATTTAATATATTATTATATATTATATTTATTAAAATAAAAATTTATAAAAATTATAAAATAATTTTAATAAATTTTTTATTTTTAATTTGATTAAGATTTAATTTAGTAGATTTAATTTAATATTAAAATTTTTATAATTAATATATATTAATTATTTAGATGTATCCTACACAATCTTAAACTATGTAGAATAAATTTAAATAATTAATATATATTAATTATAAAAAATTTAATATTAAATTGAATCTTTTAAATTAAATTTAGTGTAAATTAAAAATAAAAAATTTATTAAAATTATTTTGTATTTTTTACAAATTTTTATTTTAATAAATAGGAAACCAATTGCCTGCTTCTTTTGCTCAACTTCCCCTTTTTAATTGTCAACAAAAAATAAAAATAAATCTTCCTAAAAAATAACAATAAAATAAAATAAAGTTCTCTTGTCGCTGGAATGAAGTTGAAATATAGTCCTCCGTCTAATATTATAACCTCTTTTTTTTCCTGACTTGTGTGTTTTTAATGAATTAATTAATTATTTTTAATATTACACATTCTTCCCATATTTATTTTTATTAATAAAAATTTTATTAATTATACTATTAATTAAAAATATTTTAAAAAAATTATTAATTACACATTAAAAAATCCAAAATATCTTACTCATTTTGTTAAAAATATAAAGCATTTTTTATTTTTAAGGTATATTCATTATCTTTTTTTTTTTAAGTTTTCCTATTGAATAAAGGAAAGATTATATATAAGTCTTGTAAAACAAACTTATTTACAAATGAATCTCACAAAATTTAAAAATCACAATCAAGTCCTGAGAGCCTCAGGGTAATTTCAGATTAAACTGTAAAAATAATAATATCTCTATTAAACATATATCAATTCAATTAAATGATTAATTTATAACTATAATTTTAACTTTTTACAGTTGTAACTTAATATATCTAATAATTAAACATTCATGCATTACTAACAAAATTTAACATAAATTATTTACAACTAATTTATCATTAATTTACAGTTATAACTTCAGATGTTTACAATTATAACTTTACATATTCAATAATTAAATTAATCAATTTAATTATTAGATATATGAAATTACAGTTGTAAAAAATAAAAATTATAGTTATACATTATTAATAAAATAATTATAAATTATTTGACTGATATAATGTATATATTTAATAAGGACATCGTTACCTTTTTACCTTAATTTCAAATTATACTCAAATTTTAAGGGATTTAATTGTAATTTTTGAATTTTACGAGATTTAGTTTAAAAACAAGTAATTATTTTATTAAAAAGTGAGATTCAATTAAAAATATTTTATTTTTTTAATATAAAAAATATATTTTTAAACATCAAAATCCCAACCAAAATATATGTATTGCTAGAAATTAGAAAACCATTTGTTTGGGAGTCCTAAAATATAATGTCGCTAGAAGTGAATCTTTCCTTTACTGTAAAGGAAGTGGGCTTTGTGGATCTACTGTGTATCTACAGTAGTTTAAACAGTAAACATTATTTTTAAAAAAAAAAAAATTGTTTCATTGCATTGGATGTGTTTATTTTGTGCCGCCTATACATAACACTGTGATTTTGTTAAAAAAAACAAATATTTTTTAAAGAAATTTAAAGAAATTATATCAAGGGTGTTGGATATTTTTGTGCCCCTTAGATGCAGAACTTACCCGTCTCTCTGAGTATAGTTGGTGTTTCAATTGCGGCTCCTCTTCCTGCTCGACTTCGCTCTTCTCGCTTGACCTGCTCGAATTCACTCGCTTCCAATTTCATGACGCTGTGATTCGATTTTCGCTCTCCTGTCACTGGTGGCTGTGCGTCAGGCATCTCGATTATGAGACAGTGAAGAATGACCAAGTGCTGTTGTAGTATTGGCCTTGTAGAGGCGTCGTCACCCTCCGTCAATGCACAGTTTCCTTCAAGGTCAGCTTTCTTGAAATTCTGTTTCATTTTTGCTTCCTTATTTATCTTGCCTGTGTTGATCATCTCTACCTTTTTCAACAAAAATTTCACAGTTCAGTAATCAAATGTGTTGTGTGGAAATCGCTGCAATGAAGTTTTGGAACCTGGCATGCATGTTGATTCTAATGTCATGGTGAATAGCATACGAATGAGGTGCACTATGCATTTGTCTACCGATGGCTCACACGATAGAGCTATATATTCTTATGACAAAGAAAACCAATGTCCTTCCCAGCCCTTACGTCGATTAGGCATCTCTTAGGTGTGTTGTATGTGATTTACATAGCTGCCATTTTACATTTGGTTGATAAATACTGTTATTATAATTTCATCCTGATATTTTTGACACAGAGAGAAAAATTAGAGGAATATATGATTTGTCGCCTCCTGGTAATTGCTAATGAAGCGGCTTCTTATCATTGATTAATTTCATTTGGTTGGTTCTTACTTATTTTTGTATGCATGGAAAGGTGGTTCATCTTTGCACCAGAAGAGATATAAAATTGATGGTAACACGACGAGAAATTTTGAAGAGACAATAAACACACAAGAGGTCAATGGTTATAAGAGATCACTAACGTGAGGTAATTTTGAAGTTATTGTGTTTGGTCCTTCTCTGTTTTATTAGTGTATAGTTCCACTGTCTTATTTATCCAATCCATTATTTTCCCTCCAGTGCTGAGAATTATCATGTGAGTTTGCCTAATCAACTTAGATAGTCTCGGTGTTACAATGAAAGAAACAATCATAATCTAAAGACGAATCCTAACCACAAAAAGCTAGGTGAGTTTTATTGGCTTCCATGAAAAAATCCCTATGTTTTTAGTCTTATTTTCATACTCCCTTTTTTGGTTCCACATCCAGGAGCTAAATAGTGAATATGCATAGAACATAGTTAAACACCCTTTACAATCCACGCTCAATATTTTCCTCCAAATCTGCTGTTTTGAAATTAGAACATGATGATGACATAGCGCTTTTCAATTTCATCTTTTTAACCTATATAAAAACAGGTTTGAACACTAACATTTTGAGGGGCGTTGGGTGTAATTTGGATATGCAGAAATTCACTTATAGATAAAAGAGAAAAGCATGAGTAATACCTATGAAGTGAGCAAAGGAAACGTTTTTATATAAAGTATCTTTTCTCTTTTATATCTCTATTATTTAGCATTTTAATTACCTATAATATATATATATATATACACACACATATTATGATCACGATTTATAGTTTGATTAGAGGATTTTTAAGACTGGTGATCTTACTTAATCACCTTTAACAGCCTTTTTATAGGGATTTTTGTTTTACAATAAACAAAAAATCTTATTAATAAAAAACATGCTATGCAAACCTCACAAAACTATGCTAACATATCTTATATGTCTTGCTGGACATAATAAAGATGATAAGGGCATAAACTATGACCCTTGACAAAGTAGTGATGAGATGGTTTGGGCATACATACAATTAAAGGAAAAATATAGACGTCAATTCTACTAGCTTGTGAACTTGTAAACTTCAAAGTTTCCAAAATGACCTGTAGTTGCAGTGGAAGTTCATCAAGTTTCTATGTTAATTATACATTCTCCCATTTAAATGCACATGTTGGAAGTTTAGGTGGTTTTCTTATTGTTGACTAATGTGTCTTGTCCTCATGTTATCTTTGTCATGTATTGGTATGGTCTTTGTAGGGCATTACAATCATGGTGCAGTAGCAGATGACGGTATTGACTCTACTAATAATGTGCATGCAATTTCTTGTGCTAGTAATTCTCTTTCTGATATGGGTTTTGTGTTAAAAGTGGATATAAGCCCTTCATGAATTAATTTGCTATTTGTGTTAAAGTTACGTGTTGGTATGGTCTTTATAGGGCATTACAATCATGGTGTAGTGACAGATGATGGTATTAGCTCCCCTGAAGATATGAATGCATTTCTCATGATGGCAATTCCTTTGTGATATGGGCTTTGTGTTAAAGTGGGTATAAACTCTCCATGATTTCATTTGCTATTTGTATAATGAGATTTTTGTAATGTTAATTTGTATGATTTTTCTAAAATTTTAATGCCAACTCTAATAAACTTTTTGTTCATCTATTTAATGAATCAAATGGTATGCCATTTTTAGGTTGGAATTATAATCAATAATCATTAGGAATATTTGATTTTGAATTATCATCTTGTGAAGTTAATTTTAGATGTATTCTATGACATATTTCTCACATTTAATGACATATATGCAAGCTTCAATTAGTTACTTTGATTTATAAACCTACATAAAAATTAAAATAGTTTGTTTGGAATATTGTTTGAGATGTTCAAATTCATTATCTAAGTGTAGTTACTTAAATTTGGTAATTAAAATACATATTTTTTAAAGTTATGTTATAATTTTATTTATGTAATCACAATTATAGTAATTAGAAGCAATGCCAAACTGAACAAAGCATCCAAAAACTTATTACGAAAGTAGTATAATTAATCTACCATTACATGAATATAAAATACTTATTTCACACATATTTTGTTACTATATTTTCAATTTAATTATGTTTCCTTTTTAGTTAATATATTGTCCTTTAAATTCGGTCTTTGTAGGTTATATTGATGAAGGTGATCCTCATTTCACATGTCAAGAATGTGGTGCTTTAATGTGGTTCAATGAACAAGCTAAGCATGCAACAAGATTTGGATCTCTTCATTTTTCTTTGTGTTGTTCACATGGGAAGATCAAAATTCCACTAATTGAACCAGCACCTCCATATTTTGATCATTTATTTTTTGACTTGAACTCTATTGATTCAAAAAAAAAAATTGACAAACATCAGGCTTATAATAACATGTTCTCTTTTACTTCAATGAGAGGAAAGATAAAAACTTTTGTTGGTCGTGGATCTTATTCTTTTAGATTGTCTGGACAAAATTATCATAGAATTGGAAGTCTTGTCCTTGAAATAGGTGCATGGCCTGTTTATTCGCAGCTCTATGTTTATGACACAAAGCATGAAATTGCTAATAAGATATCAGTGGTTAGGTATGGTTTACTGATGGTGTTTGTGAGGAATTACTTGAATATTATTCAAAGATAAAGCAACTTATAAAGTACAAGGAAGATATGATAATATCATATCGAAAGAGAATAAAAAGCTAATCCCTAGGATCTCAAAAAATATAATCATAACTAAAATATTATAAAGATAAAATTATAATAAGTCAAGGGTTAGGTCAAGTTAGCTAATGTGCTTAGGACCCATAAGCCCACTTTCTACACTCCTGCTCAAGCTGGTGAATAGATATTGATCATTTCTAGCTTGCTTATTAGCTCTGCAAACTTGGCTCTAACAAGAGGTTTAGTCATCATATTTGCAACTTGGTTTTCTAAGGGAATATATGTCAAAATTATTATTTTAGCTTCAATTTTTTATTTGATGAAATGGCTACAAATCTCAACATGTTTAGTATGATCATGTTGAACAGGATTGTTTGCAATCTTTAAGGCTGTTATACTATCACACCACATTTTTATAGGAGCTTTCATTTCTACACCAAGTTCTCTTAGTAGTTGTATAACCCAGATACCTTCACAAATTCCAAAAGGTAATACTCTAAATTCAACTTCAGACGAGCTTTTAGAAACAATCGGTTATTTCTTACTTTGCCAAGTCACTAGGTTAACCTACACAAAGGTGCAATATGCTGTGGTGGAACGCTTATCATAGATAGCTCCTGCCCAATCTGTATCAATGTAGATTTCTACATCTATTACATTTTTGGTTGCTAAAGTTCTCTTATTGCCATCTGTATATATTTCTATACTCTTTTTATTCCCTTTGAGAAGAATAAATCCTTTCTAGGTGTGATCTTTAGATACCTAAAGATTCTATATATAGCTTCTATATACTCCTTTTGAAGGTTGCTTACAAACTGGCTCACAACTCCTATTGCAAAGGATATGTCAAGCCGTGTGTGAGATAAATATATGAGTTTTCCCACTAATTTCTAATACTTTTCTTTATTCACTGTCTTCCTATCAGGTTTCACTTTCAGATTGCAATTTAGTTCCATTGGAGTGTGTGCAGGTCTTGCTCCTAATATTCCAATTTTCTTAAGTAAATTCAGGGTGTATTTTCTCTGTGATACATTAATACCTTTTGATGAGCGAGTAACCTCCAGGCCTAAAAAATATCTTAGATTTCTAAGGCCTTCTATCTCAAATTCTTCAGCCAAACATTATTTTAGCTTCAGGATCTCTTCTGCATGATTTACTATTAATACTATATCATCTACATATACAATTAGTACAGTTATTTTCTGACCATACTATCTTACAAATAGTGTATGATTAACTTGGTATTGAACATAGCCAAATCCCTTTACAATAAGGGTAAACCTCTCAAACCAAGCCATGTAATAGCTTTAAGCCATATAGTGACTTGTGTAGTCTACATACTTTACCTTCATTATTCAGATCTCTCAGTCCTAATGGGATCTCCATATATACCTCCTCTTCCAAATCCCCATTTAAGAAGGTATTTTTGACATCTAATTGAAATAATGACCAATCTAAATTAAGAACAAGAAATAATAGAATATTTATGGTATTGAATTGGTGCAAAAGTTTCTTGATAATCAATGCCAGAGGTTTGGGTAAAGCCTTTGACAACTAATTGAGCCTTCTATTTATTGAGACTACTATCAAAATTGTACTTCTTTATAAGAACCTATTTACTCCCTATAACTGACTTTCCCTAGGGTAACTCCATAATCTCCTATGTCTGATTTTTATTAAGAGCTTTCAACTCTTCATCAATAGCCGCCTTCCATTTAAGGTCAACAATGGCTTCTCAAAAGTCTTAGGTATATTCTCATTATCAATAGTAGCAACAAAGTTCTTAAATTGAGAATTGAGTTTGTTATAGGAAACATACCTGTTATTGGGGTGTCTAGTACAATTTCTCTTGCCTTTTCTAAAAGCAATAGGCTACTAAAGGTCTTCAGGATTACCCTCCGTTTGAGAATCATGATTTTTCCTTGGAGCGACAATGGGATCAATATTGTTTGTATGCTGTTCAAATTGATCTATCCCTGATTCATTCAAGTATGGCTCAGGATCTAGGTTAGGTGGTTCAGGATTAGGGATAGGTATGGAACTAGAGTTAAGATTTGGGATAGGTGGTTCAAGATTAAGGATAGGTAGGGAGCTAGAGTCAATGGATAAAGGATCTAAAGACGTATGAGGCATCACAGTAGAGCCAATGTGTTTTTCATTTGAATGACCATTATTAGTGGCACAAATTAGCCATTCACCATCTTTTTCCCCATGAATGGGCTATAACATCCTTGATTTTAAACTAGATTACTTAAGTCTGAATTAGATTAACTAAGTGTATTATGAGGTATGTGGCCAGAGAGGCCTAATAGGCGTGTTTGGTTTTAATTTTAGCTCTAAATGCGAGTTCGAAAGAGAATCGGATCACTCAGGATTGAAAAAAGGAAGAAATCTAAAAGGAAAGGTTCTGTGTTAAATATCACGACTTGTGGATCAAGCCATCGCAACACGTATGCCTTGACACGCCTAAAGGGATGCTCTTTGTGCCATACATTGCAATGTATTGTGCATCTGCTGCGGCACATGATCACTTTCCTGCTGTCATAAGATCGCAAAATGAAGCAAAAAGAGAGGAAGAACAAAGAAATACAAGAGAACAACTAGAGAGCTTTGCTAGGGCTTGAGAAATCTGAACATTTAGAGTAATTTAAAGCTTATAAATATTAAAGGTAAGCTTCCTACACTCAAATCTTCCTATCTTCTTCCATTTTCTTAGTGGTAGAAGTTAGGGTTTGGTTAATAATAATGATTTTCAATCCATATAGGCTATGAATCCAAACCTATTAACTTAAATAGAGTTAATAGGACTAGATTGAGCTAATGAAACTTGATATTTATAGAGTTATGATTATTTGTGTCAGAGGCATTAAATGTCCAAAAATTCCCCATAAATGTGTTTAATTGGGGCAATTTGGTTCCATTAGTGATCATTAAAGAGTTCAATGATGTTAATGAGGTTAAAGGAAGCAAAAAAATCTTATGGGTATTTTTATATGAATATAGAATGAATCTTGAGTATAAATAAGTGTTAAGCTAATAGTGAAAATTAGCTCAAATATGAATATTGATGAATTATATTCTGATTGCTTATAAAGCAACCTTATTGGCACCATTCAAGCTTCTTGAAAGCTTTGAGAGTGAGTAATTAAGGGGTGAAACTGGGTGAAACTTTTAACCTCTCAAAGGTTTGAGGTAACTAATGGAATTCTATCTTGTGCTTTTGTGTGTTAATTAGTTTATTGATTTATATTTGATGATTGAATTATGTGAGATTGATTAAAATGTAAATGTGGCATGAATTGCTTGAAAATTCACTATAATGATTTTTGCACAAAAATGCAATCACATGTTAATTGCAATCTTTTAAAACCCTCTTAATGGATTTTTGTGTTACGATTGCTTAGGAGTTCAATGATTATAAGTTAAGTGGAGTAAATTGACTTGACATGTGAATAGTACAATGAAATCAAAATCGTAAAGTTCAACAAAACATGAGGTTAAGGACTTCAATGAATTTGTGAATGAGAAATTCAATGAAATAGATAAGTGAAGTTCAATGAATTGATTAGGTGTGTATTGTGTGATTATCCTATTTATGATTGGGTACAATGATAAGGAAATGTTTTCTTGTAATGATGCATATCTATACATTGCATGATTATGAGAGGTGGGAGTTCGCCTAGGAAAATGAATAGAGAATTAAATCCAAGTGGTAGGGCTTTCATCTGAGTTGATGGCTTGCCCAAATTGTTTATATACCTATTGTCCCACTTGTTCAATAAGGGACTGTCCCATTGATTCAACGAGGGACTCAAATCAAGCTAGCTATCTACTGGTTCAATGAGGAAGCTAGTTTAGGGAGTATGACACCCTATAGTATGAGAAAATAGGGAAACTTGTGTTTCACAAGTAAGTTGGGTAGACTTTGACTGGGTAATCCCCTCACCAGTATTTAGGCTAGGAAAGTCTAGAATTATAAACTATTCCAACGTACTATAGCCCATAGTTTTATGTCAGAGGAATAAGGAAATATAAGAAAGGTGTGTTCATGCATATAGTGAGTACGGGCACATGATTATATGTATTGTGATCCTAATGATCAGAATCATCAATTGAGTTTTAATTCCTTTTGAGTATATGTCATTTGATTGTGTAACAAACTTTCTTCTATATGAAAGTTGTTAAAAAGTATTATTTCACGAATATGTGCTATTATACTTGAAAACATAAATTTATGCTCTTAAACATTTTACATGATTTGGAAAATTGATTGTATTTACCACTTGTACTTAAAATTAATTAACATGCATTCTTATAAGTTAGTTGGACCTTAGTTACTAAGTGATTGTACTCACCCAACTATCTTCAATATTATAGGGAATAGCTTAAGAAGATTGAATAGGGAAAGCAACCAGATGCTTTAGGATTGTGATCCTATTTAATAGGCCTCTTTATTTTTAAGTCTTTATGTGTATGTGATAATTGAAATTTGCCAACTAGGAATAGTTCATTTTAGTTCTTACTTGCGTTATGTATGTTGTGAGTTGTAAGTATATTTTAGGTCTTAAGGAGTGAGTTTATGAATTGTGATATCTGTGTTAGGGTCAAAATACTAATGCAAGTAAGAATTGGCCATATTGTGTGATGTTTATAAATTATTTAATGCAAAAGATGATTGAACTCCACTTTTCATATTTTTGAATTAAGGGTTTGAGTATTGAAATTGTGAATTATAAGTGTTATGCATGAT